ACTGTATTGAAAATCAAAATCAAAACAAAAAAGCAGATCACATACAATGGCACAGAATATACATTACAGTTCCAAAACGTAGGGAAAGGAGCATAGTGATGGAATACTGGACCAAAGCAAGACTGAAAACCAGCTGGGCACACTCCAGACTTTGCATCTCCATGTCTGATGTCAAAGGCCTCTTCAGTCCTCCAACTCCTTTCGGCCTTGTTGACTGCAGCACACTTCTCTCTCTTGAGCTGGCCCCACTCCCTGCTAAAGGCTCTCCTCTGCAGGTATACCACAGCTCTGGCATCTCCTACATGTTGGGAGTCTCCAAGACAATCCAGGCTTCACTTCACAGCTTCATGCATTGGCCTTTCTAGGCCTCCATTCAGGGACCCCCCTGCCACATGACTGGCCTCAATGGCTTTCCTTAATTTTGGAGAAAAATTCCATAATCCCTTTTCTATCTTGACTTGAAATCCAGAATCATAAGGCTGAAGCAGCCAGGTTTTACCAGCTTGCTGGGGCTGGAATATGGCCCTCTCACCAATTACATCTTCACCAGCTTCCTTGTTTCCACAGTTTCTTTTATTATCTAAGTTTGGCTGTCCTGGAACTTGCTCTGTAGACCAGGCTAGCCTTGCACTTAGAGATCAGCCTGCCTCTGCCTCTGGAGTTCTGGGATTGAAGGTGCCACAACACCTAGACCTAAGATTTCCTCAATTTCTTTTCACAGATTGGAAGCTGAGCTGAGTGGGATCTTTTCCTGAGCTCGCCACTCCCTTTATCCATTTAACACCAGAATTTTCTTTCATTTCAGCACAGGAGTGCCCTTTTCTCCTTAACCTATATGTTTTGTATTTTCCCTTGCTCAGCTTGCCGATTTTCCTTGTAGATCCGCACAAGAGTGGCCACTAATGACCACACAGCAGAGGCAATATTAGAATGCTCTGAGATATCCTCTTCCAGTGCAGTTAATCCAGACTCTTCATTTTAGGGCCAGGTAGACTTTCCTTCAGACCAGGAGGAAAAGCAGCCACATTCTTCACCAGTACACCACAAAAATGACCTCTAGGCTACATAGTAATACTCTTCTCTGAAAGCTGTTGACCCAGTTTCAGAATTGCGTCCCCACAGCTCAAACCACTCTGAGCACCACTGTCTCCCGTGCTCCCCACTAGAGTCCAACTGCTTTGTGATCCCAAGAACCAAAGTCCACATTCTTTCAAACAAAAGCCCAGCAGGCTTAGCGAGCACTACCTGACTTTCGGTACCAACTTCTGTGTTAGTTACGGTTTCTATGGCTGTGGAGAGACAAGATGGGCATGGCAATTCTTATAAAGGGAAATATTTGATTGGGGCTGGCTTACAGCTCAGAGGTTTATTCCATTATCGTCATGGCAGGAAACATGGCAGTGTGCAGGCAGACGTGATACTGGAGGAGTTGAGAGTTCTACATCTGGATTGCAGCAAAAGTGAATGCCACACTCGGGCCAGATTGAGCATAGGAGACCTCAAAGCCCACCCCCACCGTGACACACTTCCTCCAACAAGGCCGTATCTTCTAAGAGTGCCACTCCCTGTGGGCCAAGCATTCACACACACGAGTCTGTGGGGGCCACACCTAGTCAAACCACCACGTTCACATTACTGATATAGACATTGGAGAAAAAGCATTACATTTCAAGTCATCATCAGAACCTCAGATTTCTTAGAACAGTGAGAGCAAGTGTTGGGAGCAAATATTAGTAGACTGTCCAAGCCATTCTGGAAAAGAAACTGAGGGAAGGATGGGGCTCTAGTATGTTCTGATGGCTGAGGTCAACAGGGCCCCTCCACTCCCAGGAGGCAAGTTTCCTTACTGTATGTGCACATCCTAAAGAAGCCCAGCTACAGATCAGATATGCTCCCTCCCTCTTGAACTTACCATCTAAATCTACAGAGACTTTCAAATAAGCTTGTATAGAGGAAATAAATTGTCTTAGTTCTGTTGCTGTGAAGAGACGCCATGACCATGGCAACTCAAAGAAAGCATTTAATTTAATGTAGCTTGCTTATATTCAGAGGTTTATATTCCACTATCAGCATGGCAAGAAGCATGGTGGCGCTTAAGCAGACAGTGCTGGAGAGGTAGCTGTGAGTTTATGTTAGCAGACCAGCAGGCAGGAGGAAGAGAGACACTGGGCCTGGCTTCAGCTTCTGAAACCCCAAAGCCCACCCCCAATGACAGACTTCCTCCAACAAAGCCACACCTGCTCCAGAAAGGCACTTCCTAATGCCACTCCCTACACATTCAAATATATAAGCCATTCTTATTCACTTAAATCTTTGTATGGGGTTGGTGCGGGATGAGGAAGGGAGGGTTCCCACAGTGTGGACCTGAGTCATATGAGCCACCTGCATCCTTTACTGTCCTATTCTCCACCTAGAACTCAGCCGAGCCACTTCGCACTCAGCAGCAGATGGGCGTTTATCTCTGTGCTCTCCTGTTGTCCCTCCATAGAACTAAGCCCAACACAGGCACTATGGTGTTACTAACACAGGCTATCTCCTTCTGTGCCTTCCCCGTGAGACCATGAGCATGCCTAGGGTACTTAACAGAAGCACCGTGTACTGAAGAAGTGACATGGGATATGAGGGTCATCCTCTAACAGTATCTTCCATGCTTGCTGAAAGAACTCACAGCATTGTTCTGCTCTCTTCAGGAAGCTACAACACAGGCCTGTTCATTGTTCACCATTAACCCAGCATTCAACAGAAGGGCCTGCTTTCCCCATGTTGGAGCTCTCTGAATTCCATGCGAAATCTCATTTTGGAAGTTTCTGTATTTCCACAAGGCATCTAAGAACTGATGCTAATGGACTATTAAGATTCCAACAACCGATGGCGGGCTCTTTGACACCCCCCCCCCCCCAGGGAGGAGCAGCCTTGCTAGGCCACAGAGGAAAACTTTGCAGCCAGTCCTGAAGACACCTGATAAACCAGTATCAGATGTAAGGGGAGGAGGTTCTCCCTTATCAGTGGACTTGGAAAGGGACAGGGAGGAGATGAGGGTGGGAGGGTGGGATTGGGAGGGAAAGAGGGAGTGGGATACAGCAGGGATATAAAGTTAACAAACTGTAACTAATATTAAAGAAATAAAAATTAAAAGATTCCAACAACCTAGCAAAAACCCAGGAAGTCCTACAACAGCAAGGCTCAATAGGTTTCGTCCTCTAAATAGCCATCACTAGCATCATTTGCAGGTGCAGCTGGCGTCTCCACACAGAGGACTACAAGCTCCTATAACATGTGCCTTCACTTTGTTGCTTCTCTTGTGACCTCTGCTCCCCAGGAACACAAGACTGGAAAGCTGGGCAACTCCTTTAAGCAGAGCATGGAGTCCAGAAAAAGCACTGACTTAACATGAAAGGTGGTCTCTAGCGCTCTGCAGCACAGCTGGCTGACACACTTCTAGGTTAAGGAATGTTTACACAAATGTGTTCAAGGCTTGCTCTCCATGAGGTTTTTCTTCCCCAGACCCACCACATTCACAATACATAACCTCTAGGCCATAGACAGACCCACTCTGCCCCTAAAACAGATCAGGTGGAAACCCAATAAAGAAAATCTATAGCTCAGCCTATGGAGAAACAAAGAGAAACGTGGGGGAGAGGGACCAAAGCCTTGCAATGTTGTGTACTTATTTCTTAGTTTCTTAGGAAATTTTGCTTTTGCTTTTCTTTTCCAAGAAAAACACCCATTAATCTTACTTTGCTGGTGACCCCTCCAGACTTTGAAAGAAAGTTTTCCAGTATGTGAGCAACCAAAGTGAGCTCCTTACCACCCTAGAGTACAGGGGCTCAGGGAGCTGGTGCCTGGGAGGAGCATAATCTGTGCATAAGCAAACACATCTCTTTAGGTGCTCACAGGAACTCAGAGTGAGTTCACTGAAGACTGGGGAGATCTAGAGGTCTGCAGCAGCCTAAACGGTGAATAGTCTCCAGAGCCTTGACAGTCTTTAGGTAAAAATACCCTGAAGGAAACCAATGCCAACAAAAGAACTGCCCCCCCCCAAGCTAGAAAAGCAGGATACAGACTGAGAGAACATGGAAAGCCCTTCAGAAAACTTGAGGAAAAAAGGAAGGAGGGTTGAAGGGCACTTCTGAAATACCATCCTCTAAAATGCTCACCATCTGGAAGTAACTGTTTTCGTTTGGAGGTACAAGATAGGAAGGTGAGGTTAAGTGTAGGTATGAGCTGGGCAGAGAAAGGATGTGGCCAGAAACATACAGAGAATTCTGGTCCTCAGAAGCGCAGGTCATGCTTGCACAAATGCAAATCCAGAGAACAGCCTTGAAGAGAAACTAAAATGTAGAGGGAAAGTTATAGAGTCAAGTTTAAACAGAGATAGAGGGAAGGAGAAAGAAGAGCCACACAGTGAACAGGGCGGTCTTCTGCACTGGGAAGGCGGCCTCAGTCTCCCCAGTTCGGTAGCCTCCCACCCTAACACTGGATGAGACATCATGATATAAGGACAACAAGCAAACGTGTGCATTTGTATGTTGTAACGACTTTCTCTTAGCAACACTCACTCTAAGCGGAGACTCACTTAGAAGGCAGGCACAGCCTAATTCCCATGCAGCCCAGTGTCCAATACAGCCTGCTTTATCAAAACTGCTCAGTGGCAGGACAAACTGCAGATGGTGATTTATGAAAGAAACTGATTCAACTGACTAAGGCAGTGGCTGTCAAACAAAGGACAGCAAATCCTCACTGACGGCCGCCCTGGCTGCACACAGCCCGTCAGCGTGACTACAGAAAGGCCTCATTTTGCTAATTGCATCATCTTTAGCAACAGAGACAGAAAACACAAGAGCTTCCTTTTCTCAACAAAGAACTTAGTCATGGGCGGTCCTTCATTTTCAAATGTACAATCTTTCAGGACAGTAAAACTCTCCAGGCATTGACAATCTCAAAGCGCTAGAGCCCACACAGACAAGTTATCTATTAATGAGCTGGGAGTTCCCACATACCTAGATATATTGTTGAAGCTGAGGAAGAGGCGTTGGAGGCAGGGCAAATTATCCACATCTCTCTAGAAAAAAAGAAAACAGAAAGCAAAAATTTAGCAGTTGAAAGAAAAAAAAATATGGTATTAAAATGCCTTCTTGTTCAGCTGCTGGAAGACATTCCTGTCTTCCCCCTCCCACAACCTCACTCCACCGTTCCTTTCTAGTGAACTCGGAGATCCATTCTTCTCTGCTGCAGAGCGAGCAAGTGGGAGGGTTTCAGCACATCCGCAGAACAGGCTGCACCAGCGCTAGCAAGGTAAAAGCCGGGGAGGCAGCAGGGATCGCTGCGGCTAGCCTCCTTAGGCGTGCTTTTGGGAAGGGTGCCAGGATGCTACTTCAGCATCTACTGTAGCACAAGCGGTGTGATCACGGCTTGTTCTAAGTCACTTTCAAAAGGAGACAGTCAAAAGCTTTCCAAACAATGGCGAGAGTTTCAAAGTGATTGCCTCATTATTCTCAAACTACTAGAAATAGATCATCCAGTTATAAAGACACAATAAAGATAGCCACCCCCAAACTAAAAGCAGATCACAATGTCACTGAAGGGCACTCTAAGGTCAGCTCCTAATCTAGGTTTGCACCAAACACTCAAAATTGTACTATTTTAAAAGGTTGCCCTTAGTCAGTACTGAAAGATTTAGGCTCGGATGGCTAAAAATCATCTACAAAATAAATACACTCCATTTCATTAGGCCTAACAACAATAGCAGCAACAACAACCCTCAAAAACAAAAACCTTCTGAAAAAAATTGACATGCTCGAGAAATGGACTCTGCTGAGGACATGGAGCCGTTTGACTCAGTCTAGAGAAGAGAACAACTGAGGCCACTGCAGGTGTAACGTAAGGGGGTGGAGGTGGGCTGGCGGGGTGGAGGGAGGGCTGGCGAACTGGAGGGAGGGCTGGCGGGGTGGAGGGAGGGCTGGCGGGGTGGAGGG